TTCTGAAATAATCGGAGTTAAAGATATGCGTTAATAAATTACCAGTTTGACTATAAAAAGCACCATAACCCATTAAGATATGAAAATAATATAAATAAGCTAGCGGTCGGTTTCAAAGTTAAACGAAATAACATTTAATATCGTGAGCTAACCCTAGTGAACTTGTTCTTATTTAATTACAATGATAAATAAAAACATTAAAAAAAGTAATTATTCAGTTAGTTTGTTTGTTTTGAATTTCGCGCAAAGCTACACGAGGACTATCTGCGCCAGCCGTCCCTAATTTAGCAGTGTAAGACTAGAGGGAAGGCAGCTAGTCATCACCACCCACCGCCAACTCTTGGGCTACTCTTCTGCCAACGAACAGTGGGATTGACCGTCACATTATAACGCCCCCACGGCTGAAAAGGCGAGCATGTTTGGTATGACGGGGATTCGAACTCGCACCCCTCAGATTGCGAGTCGAGCTCCTTAACCACCTGGTCATGCCGGGCCGTAATTAATTAGAAATCAGATATACACAGCGTGGTCACAAGTAAATAGACGCCACCTTTTCAGAAAAAAATGAAATTTTTCAGTCATATTCACATGAATTGATATACTTATAATTTAATTAATATCTAGTAGATCTTCCTTTCGCTTCGTGGAGTTCGTTGATCTTTAGGGGCATCGTAAGAATCATCTCGTCAATTTTAGAATGTGGAATTTTCGCCCACTCCTGCTGCAAAACTTGGAGTAGATCGCTCTTCGAAGTTGGTTTTTTGGTTGTTTCTTGACTTGCCAGTCGAGTATTGCCCACAGGATTTCGATGGGGTTCATGTCAGGAGATTGGCTCGGTCAGGGCAACTTCATTTTCTTTCTGCCACTTTTGGGTGTTTCTAGCAGGGTGATACGGTGCTCCATCTTCCTGGAACAACGTTGTGTTCCTGTCCACGAAACCCGAGAAATAAAGTGGCAAGAGTCCTTCCTCCAATATTTCGACGTATTTCGCAAAATTTATGTTACCAACACACTCCACTAAGCTCGATCTCCCACCAACCCAAACAGCTCTCCAAACCATCACGCTGAAACCACCATGCTTTGCAGTTGAGCCAAAACTCTTGGTGAGGCATTCTCCAGACCCATATCTTTCCACTGTCCG